AGCATGAAATGATGTTGGTCAAACGAATACAAAAGATGCGTAAACTGATATGATATAAAATTAGAATTTAGCTCTACCATTCATTGAAAAGTACCTAGGGCGTAACTATGAAGAAAAGATTCGAGAAAACCCTACTGAACAAAGGAAATAAACAAACAGTATCGGAGATAGAGAGAGGCAGAGAAAGAAATATAAAGTCCATCACAAATTGGAGAGAAGCGAGAGAAAGAGAAATCAGTTGACCAATCTAATACATTTCCTTTAACTTCAACGAGATTGCATTGAATCCTATCATGAATTCATCTAACCTACAATCACAAAATTTCAGATGAATTAAATTACAACTTCGGCATGCCTCTGCTAAAATATTTGGGGATTCTGTATGGTATTCGTCTCCGCATGGAGGCCAATATATATACAAGCTAATTACAAGAGAATAGGAAAACTTTAAGATTGCCCACACAGGCTGAGCTCACGTTGACACTCCTCCTCAAAGTGCATAGATTTCACCAATGCCCAACTTGTCGAGTGAGCTATAATATACTTTGCTAGACACAACTTTTGTAAGAACATATGTCGGTTGATATTCATACTTAACAAAATGGTACATAAATTAGTCCAACTTCCAATTTCTCTTTGATGAAATGTCGATCCACTTCATCATGTTTATTTTGATCCTGTTGAATTGGATTGTGAGCAATGTTGATCGCAACCTTGTTATCACAATGAAACTTCATTGGTTTCCGTGTTCTAAGGCTCAAGTCTGAAAGTAAATTTCAAATCCACAACAACTTACAAATGCTATGAGACACACCTCAAAACTCTGCCTCAACGTTTGATCTAGCAACAACATTTTGTTTCTTGCTTCGCCAGGTAACGAGACTGCCTCCAAAAACTGTGAAATGAACATAAAAGAACCTGCCAACTCTGCATTTGTATACCTAGAAACATCCAGTGACCATGTTTTGAAAACGTAAGTCCTATCACCGGTTAGATCTCAAAAGCATGTATGAACTAACCACACTTACTGCATATGTAAAATCTGGTCTGGTGTGTGCCAAATATATTAACCTCCTAACAAGGTGTTGGTAGTGTTCCTTGATTGTTGGTGTTTGATATTCTTACTCGCAAAACCTATGATTCATCTTTATAGGTGTATCAACAAGTTTGCAAGCAAGCATTCCAGTCTCTGTTAGCAATTATGTCACGTATTTCCGTTGAAATTGGAAAATACCTTTCAGCAATCTGGACACTTCAATCCCCAAGAAATACTTGAAAGGACCAATGTCCTTCATCTCAAACTCTTAGGACAAGTATGTTTATAGTGCAGCTCTTTCTTTAAGAACCTCCTGAGTAATACATTTCGTATTCACTAAAAACACACATCCATAGTGACATGCATCTTCTATATGGTCAGATCATAGCACCGGTACCCCTTTTGATCAAGACCATAACCCATGAAGGCACACTTCACCGAACAGGGATCCAATTTACTTTCTGGTGCTTGTGAACATAAACGAAGGCTAAACACCCAAAGACCCGAGGCTCATGATTTTGCTGAGGTGAAACTTCTAAATGTTGATAAAGAGTCTGAATTGGAGTTTAAAAATTTAAAGCACTGGAAGGAACACGATTAGTCAGGTAAGCTGCAGATATCACGGTTTCTCCCCAGAAACATTGTGGCATATTGGCTTCGAATAGGGAAGCCCGAACAATTTCCATTATTTGACGATTTTCCACTCCGCTGCCTCATTATGTTGAGGAGTGTACGTAGTGAACTTCTGATGAACCATTCCATGATCCTGCAAATACTGTGATAGTTCATGACTCACAAACTCACCGACATTATTAGAATGAAGAACTTCAACCATACTCCGAAATAGCGCAAAACAAAGCATCTGTGATTTGAGCATAGACAACAAGTTGTAATTTAAGAAGGGAACCACCAAGATGGAGTACATATGCAAAGAGTTTCTATGATAGATTGAGCTCTCCCCAATCACAGTTGCGGGAGTAGCATCAGACGTAGACAACGACTGCCAACATGGATGAAAAGATTCTGATGGAGCAGCATCAGAAGTTGTGTTTGAGATTTGATTTGTGTGTTGAAATTTAAAGTTTGGGGATCACGTATGTACTTGAGAGAATGATTCTAGAATCGTCATGCTCACGGTACCATGCTAAAATATTGGGGAAGTTCTGAATTGTTGTAAAACTAACAGTGTGTGCAGTGGAATAAATAAACAAAACATAAAATTTATGAGATTCTTATACAGTTAGTGTGACTGGAGCACATCCTCAGGGCAGCAGTGGTACTTTCATTATAATCTGGAATAATAAAATTACAAAGATAACTCTTTCTATTATCTCCTCTCTTCTTCCTCTACCAGCCATTTGTCTATCTGTTTATATTTACTCTCCTTTTTCTCATCCATTTTATAGACAAAGTTTTAGACAAAGTTATGGTGGGATGAACAGTAAATTGGTAGTAGGATAGGTGGTCATCCACAATGAAATGACCAGTGAATTACAACATGAATAATATTCTTCTTTGTATGGAAGCAAAATCTATACAAGCTAATTACAAAAGAATATAAAAACTATAAAATTATAAGAAATCCTAATTACATAGTCAACTAACCCCACACAGGTTGACCTCACTTTAACGGCCTCTTCTTTCTCCATTCAACATACTGTTTCTTTAGTGGGCCAACCCTTTTCTTACTTTGGGCTTAGCTCTTTTATTAGTGAATAGAAGGTGACATATATTATTTATCTTAAAGACTTGGTATGGACTTTCTGTATTAGAATTATAAGCTCTCCACATAATTTATTCAACTTTACACCCAAGCAAGTTTGTAATAAAGTGCAATCTAGTTAAACATTACATTTAGGTATAACACAACTAGGTTTAGTTGATTGATCACGTCTTAAAAGTGCAATTCCTTTACATTTGTCTACGTATAGCATACATCATAATTATCAAATCTAGCCAGAAAGTATATTTTTGTCGCAACGTTATGCCGAATAAACGATCATGTCGTATTACATTTTTATCGTATTGATTTACAATTGTCTACGTAACGTATCATAACTAACGAATCTAGGTTATCGGAAAAAAAAAAAAACTAACAAATCTAGTTTATAAAAGAACACTAACGAACCTAAAAGTAAAATTTTGTCGGAATTTGTTCAGTTGTTGTCAGAAAAAATCATCGTGTTGAATTACAATTTTGTCACTACGAATGGCTACATTTCTTTTCATCCAAATGAAATTACTGAGATCTCTCTAATCATTATGTTATGTACGCGTTTAATTTTTTTTTTCATTTTATTTGTACTTTTTTGTAATATTACTATGAATTGCAGTTTCTTTACGTGTGAAGTTTATCATCGCCCTATGTAAATATCTAATTATAGAGTATTTAAAATTTAAAATACACGTATTTTTGTTTGTTTTAATACAATAATATATTTTATACTAAGAGGTGAGGAATGCATATTTATTAATTAGTGGCAATACTCACATACACTTTATTAGGGCACCTTCTTGGCCACGCATACATGGTTACATTCATATTCGAATATGAAAGTTAGCCATACATAGTGTAATTGGTTTTTTTTTTTTTTTTTTTAACCATCAATATACATCATTTTTTGCCAAAAAAAATAAAAATAAAAGGATGGTGCTATCCACACACTCATTTTTACCTTTTCCACACTCTTTTCAAATTTTGACCATTGAATTAATTAAATTGAAGAAGATCATAATAAGGGTATGTGATAGGTAAAAAGAAGTGTGTGAATAACACTAAAATAAAAAATGGAGGTCATTAATGCAATTATTCTTATGTATAGCACAAATCAATGATTCTGGTAAAAACTGACATTCTTATTATGAATCATCAATTTGTTTAATACTTATGTATGAGTGGTACTTTGATTTTGACATTTGTAGAATCAATCTTTAAATCGTGATTAAAATATGAATGACGTTCTGATTAAGGCACAAGTATTGTGCAGTTGTTAATCATGAAATTCAATATGTATTAATTTCATGGCTAATTATACATGTTAACTTCTCTTGTGGATTCGTGAACACATATCTGTAAAATATAAGAAGGCTTTTATGATAAAATGAAGGGCATGGAAGTAATTGAGTACGAAAAATCCAACCTTGCGTAACCGTCGTAGATAAAAACAAGAGGAGAAAAAACCATAAGAAATTGAATGGAAGGGCAAATTGCAACACAAAAGCATGGTTATGTGGCACAAACACTGGATTACGCGTCCATCCCCAGCCATGCATGCCGGGCGCCAAATGGATTTCATGAACTTTGTTTCCTTCCGAGCCTAGTCCACCCACTGCGTTATAAATGTGAGCTATTCTAAGCCCTCGATGCAAAGCGAAAAACACGCACTGCTCTGAGAGAGAGAGAGAGAGAGAGAGAGAGAGAGAGAGAGAGAGTCTGAGAAGAGAGAAGCTTAGAGAAGAACACCAGTCGGTGGTACATTTTTCTCTAATCTCTTTCTTTCCTTCAGTTCATTACCCTTGAGCATTCTGTCTAATTTTGCTGTATATATACTGATTTCGAGCTATTTTTATGTGTGTATATATAGTTCTTTTGGTCGGTTATGTACATATAATATAACATATATATATATATATATATTTGTCAAGGTTTTAAGGAGACCACCTTTCCCAATTTTTCCTCATATTTTTCAAGGATTTGCTTCTGTTTAATAGTTTTCCCCATGGAAACATTTGATGATTTTTCTACATATTCGTGTAAATTAAAATGCTTACAGTTAATTGGTTATTGTGATTATGTATTCTTTTTTTTTTTTTTTTTTTTTTTTTGCATGTTTCAAGATCTGATCATCTGGTCTGGTGGCATCTTATTATGCATGCCCGATCTGCTGAAAAATTAGGCTTTTTTGTGTGTAAAAAAGTACTGATCTGTATAGTTTTTTTTTAAGGTAACGGTACTTAATCTTCGATGGAGACCGGGAGCAAGATGGCAGAGAAATCGGCGGCCTCCGGCGAAAGTAGTAGCACTGAACCAATGGAGAAAGTAGAGGCATTGAGTGAAGACATAAAAGCAGGTCATGGATCCTCGAATGAGAACATAGAAGAAGGGCAGGGATCTGGTATTGGAGAACAAAATGAATGCAGAATTTGCCAGGAGGAGGATTACCTTCACAAACTCGAAGCTCCTTGCCACTGCAACGGCACACTTAAGGTACACCATATCATATATGTGCTGTTAATTACTTGCACATGAACATGCATGTAACGCTTTTTATCCTCAAAAAGACGTGTCAGCTAGTCAACTTTAGGTTTGGAAGGTTTGTAGGACGTATTTATTAGAGATGCGTTAGCAATAATGTCAGTTTCGTATGTCCAAATATGATGATTATTTATCTTTTTATCGGTTGGAAAAAAAAATAATAAAAAAAAAAATAACCATGCAAATAGCTCAAATAATTATTTTTCAATTTGGCATCAATAATTAATATGGCTGGCTTCCTTTTCCGCTGTATAGTTTGCTCACAGGGATTGCATTCAAAAGTGGATCAACGAGAGGCTAAGTATGACTTGTGAAATCTGCAATCAGGTATATATTATATAGCATGCTTCTTATTTCATTTCTGCATTTTTTTCTATATAAATATTGGTTTTAGGGTTTATGAAAAATGAATTTTTTTTTTTTTTTTTTCTTTTCTGTGTCTCTTGTGCCACTGAATACACAGCCCTATGAGGCCGGATATACGATGGTGACACCCCCACCACCGCCCAGTGCTCAAACCGAAAATGTCACTGTTGGCATCAGGCAAGTCCAATGCCCCAAAGCTATAGTTATAACCATATAAATTAACGTTGATCATGTACCTAATATGATATATATGCGTATGGATGCATGTGTAGCAGAGATGGAACTTATATTACGATGGATACTGATCAGGCGGGGCTGCAAGCTGGGCAAAGGACTGCGCAGATAGAGGCAGCGGCAGAGTTCCTCCGCCAACAGCATGCTATGCTGGCTAATGGTGGTAAATATTTCAATGCAGGTGTACTATGTCGCATTGCAGCTGTTATTGTAAGGCCAAGAAGCTAATCATATATCTTTGTTAAGTCATAATAGTTTCAGTTATATATCAATCAAATTGTCATGAACTACATATACAAATGTACACACACACACACACACACACACACACACAAATATAGAACTGAATGCGCTGCTGACATGTCCAATTAATTGCCTTGCAGTGCCTCACATTTCTTGTGATGAAAGATATCTACTACATCTACGAAAATGGAGAGGATAGCGATTTGCTTACTGTCTTTTGTGTAAGTGGGATATCAATCAACACTAAATCTATATATTTTCTTCTTAGAAAATGTTTCTTTTTTGTGAAGGTTAAGATTAACTCAGCACCATAACGATTGATACACACAGGCTTTGTTGGGTTTTCTTTTACCATCCTATCTCATAGCATGGTGGGCAGGTACACGAGTAAGCAAGCACTGACTGAGACTCAGATATTTAGTTCCTATTACCTTGAACTCTTCCATGCTAAATTATCTAATTACACATTTCTCATTAATAACTAGTGTTGTGCACAGAACCGAAGTGAAGGCGATTTGGCAGCGGGGGAGGTCTCAGTTGCAGCGTCGCACAGTATGACATGACTTCTCATCGATATTGATATAAAGACTCTTCTTCGGAGTTCGGTGTTTCGAATCACCTTGAATGGAAAGTTGAAGTTATGAGTTTGTAATGTTGGCATATAGTATGTGTCTCTGTTCTTTTTATTTAAAACAATTCTGTATTGTATGGTGAATAACGATGGTTGTATAAACCAGTAAACTCTCTTCTCCTGTAAGAAAAGTATGTAATGTACCTATGGGTTTTATTCATGTGGTTTTGTAATTTTACTTTTCTGTACTATTTTTTTATTAATATCTACAGGAGCAAACTAGTTAGTAGGGATAAACTATATAAACAGCCATTCATTTCATCAGAGGAAAACCACTAATATATTATAATTGTTGCCTCATATGATGGCATATATATGGGGTATGTTACAGAGTAGAATTCTCTTTCCTTCAAATTCCCCTTCTCTTCAGTTCTTTCTTATTTGAACGGTCACGATTAAACATGTCAACATCTGGTGTTGACTTCTTCATAGAGAGAGAAAGAAAAGGAGGGTACGAGAGGAAAGGATTAGAGGGAAAGACATTTGGAGGTGAGTAAATCTTACTCTATATGGTACCGGGTACTGCCTTACTGCTTGCAAATAGGATAGGCCCACATTCTAAAGATAGAGGCCCAAATATTCTTTAGGACTTTTGTTCAAGCGAAAGCTTTTGGGGCTTGTGGCCCATTTTAATTGTAATGATCGCTATCAACACTCTAATAAAGTAATCATGCATTGTTCCTTCTTTCCCAATTCACGCAAGGAGACGCAACAAGATGACTTACTTAAAATGTCGATAACGTCTTCTTAATTGATTTGGGAAAAAAAGGAAAAATAAGGCTTCACATGCAACACAAGGGAAGTCTTGTAGCGAAAGTAGACAACTCATATTTTGAGAGAATGACTTATATGAAAAAATGGGCGAAAATGTTAATGTCTCAAACTATTGATGTACAAAAGACCATGTCAATTCCATCCTATTATACTTTTGTATTTGTAATTTGTTTACCTTTTTAATTTCAAGTTTTAAATGGCGTCTGATACCAATCCAATTGAAAAAAAGGGAAGTACACACAAAAAAATTAGGAACACAAAACAGATAATAAGTTGTCGCGTTATAAATCACATTTCTTGTAATTTTCTACTTTCAATTGAAATTTTGTAACTAATTATACTCGTTCATATCAAACTGCACAAAATTGAGTCTTGTGCTACCCACAATTTTCAAAAAGTGAGATATTCTCATGCAACTAAACATTGGCACGCTATCTTTCAGAAATTTCACACTAAAACAATAGAAAATCTCTTGTTTAAAAGGCACACAATAGATATGAGTCATGAGTACGCCCTTGCTTCCTGTGGACAACCACCCTCACATTGGGCCGGCCACTATGGGGGCACAAGACTCAAGTAGGATTCCACCATCCACAATACAAAAGATAGTGCAAATTTTAATATAAAAATTATTCCATTTATAAAACCAGAAATTGCATTCATGACAATACATATTAGGGTTTCTCTAATTCAAACCAATTTCTCAGTGACCGGAAATTGGCAAGACAATGACAAATTCAAGTCTTTCTCAAATCAACAGAACAAACCCAGTTCAAAAGAGAACTCATACATTTCATGTATATATGTAACTTATATTATATATTATTATTATATATAGTTAATTAAGGGATCAATTAATCAGGGGCACTTGGGTCCTCCTTGCTGGGTCTTCCAGTTGTTGTAGCAAGGGCACACGGCCTTGTTCCCGTAAAACCCAGGAGGCACACACAGGCACTTTTTGCAGCATTTCTGACAGAAGAACATGCAGGGCTTGTGGTACTGCGTCTGGCTGCACCTCCTCGTGCATTCTGACGGGCATTCTGGTCATTTTATCACACACGCAGAGACAGTCAAAAGTCACAAAACCGAAATTGTAACAGTCACCCTGCTTTTTCAACCCCACAAATAACTTTAACTTTTAATCAAAATGATAAAAATGTGTTGTAAGTGAATAGTATCATGAGTGAGTGACTTTTTAAAGTAAAAAGGTAAAAATGCATCAAGAACTTGACTGGGAAGAGAAATTCAAGCTTTTTTTTTTCCTTCTTTTGGCTAACGAAAAATCTTTACTTTAGTATCAAGAAAGAAATGTTAATAGGTAAGTATGTTAAGTCAGTTGATCAAAACAATATTTTTAGTGTTTTTGCCTTCTAGTGGCACGGTTGCATCCAAGTTTAAAATCTTTTTTTTTTTTTTTTTTTTTGGTATATTAAAATAGTTTGAAATATCGCCATGTTAAAAAAGAAGAGAGAAGAAAATCAGGTTGTGAGATTGTCTACTTACGGCTGCTCTTGAGACTCCCAGGTCCATAGGCATTCTGAAATCACAAAAAAATAACCAACATTTAAGCAAAATGCAAACATTTCATCATCATAATTCATAAAAAAAGAAGATAAAGACTCAATCTTTATAGAACAATACACATTATTTGCTGGGTATAAATAGTGGGTCTGTGTGTAAGAGAGGTGTAGTGAGAGAGAGCTTACATTGCCCTTGTGATGACCTCCATGCCCATGATTTGCCAAAACCTGCAACAAAATTGATGAACAAAATATGTTGGTTTGTAAATGTAGGTGGCCTTTATTGTCATTGGAAAAAAGTTTTCTTTTCCTTTTTAACTTCTGGGGGGTGTAAAGATAAATATTTGAGTTCATACCATGGTTTGAAGCATGGAGATGGCAAGGAGAGCCAAGGACAAGGCAGCAAAGAACTTAGCCATGGCCATTGTTACAGACAATCCCCTCCTGAAATGGCAAAAATAACCTCAGGAACAAGAGGAGGGAGATGTGAACAAGAAGAGAAGGAAGTTGGAGTTATTTAGATTCAAGCGTGGTGGGTACTTGGTATTGTGGGGCTATAAATAGCAGAAAATCAATGAGCATGCAATTGTTGGGGGAAAAAACACTCACACAGTGTACTAGGTCTGCTAGCTTTAGCATCAACTGACAAGTGTGCAGGCACATTGATTGAGCGGCTAGGATGAAGCAAAGGTTAAGCATGGCTTAACCTACTATTAAAAAGGGGAAAGAGTTTCAAACATTGTCCAAACTTTTGTCTTCTTGATTCATCATTGCTTCAAAATATCCTTCTGAATCAACAGTTAATATAAAAACATCATCACATGGGCAGCAGGATGTATGGATGAAATCTTTTTTATTTTATTATATACACACACACACATATGTATGTATAAACAATAACTTACTTTAAAAAAAAAAAAAGTACAGAATTCTAACCAACTTAACTAAGTTTTGACGGATGAAAATATAAAAATAGAAGAGTGTGACTTGTGGGAATGTTTTTTTCTCCATCAGTAATGATACAATTAATTTGAATAAAAATTATGCAATTAATTAGCTTACAAATATATTATCTAGAAAAAGGGTATTTTAGTAATCATATTCATTTTTATTCAAATTCAGGTGAGTTAGTAAACTACTTGTATGAACGCAGTTTTATTCTCACTTCATCTCAATTCAATTCCTCATATTTTGATTACAATTACATAAGCAAGGCATAACTCCGGGCGCCAAGCAATTCATAAATTCAGATAGCATTGCATCAACCAATTAATTTAGGATATTACTAAATTGGAAACTTAGAAACAAAATACTAAATCCCTACATTCTACCTAATTCCTTCCCCTGTCCATGGATGGATGCAACTTATTATTTTGGTACAAAAATGGTGAGCCTTAATGGAAGGGAAAGAAGGGTACTTTGTATAGGTGAACTAGTTGGGTAACTTGGCAGGTCGCTATGGATCAAACGAGCTCATGCTCATGCTCAGCCTTAAAATAGGAGGGCAAAATTGCTCACTAGTTCAATGAGGTTTATGTAGAGTTTTTAATTTCCGCACTTTTATTTTCTCTTTAGGTGTGTTGTTTTAATTTTGTGATCAAATAAATTATTAAGCAAAAAAGTGGAATTATTACCTTCCTAATTTTTTTCTCTTTGATACAATATCAAAGTTGAGAATTTGACTAGATCGTATAATATAGCAATAATTCAATATCAAACTCGACCTTCGTGAAACAATGTGCCCTAATATTTTATTTTTCTTTAAACAAGTAAATGGAGGCAAACGGTGCATTTAAGAAGGGAGGGTAGAGGTAGTTAAGGGAGTTGAGGGGTCCTCCAATGTCATAATGGACAGAGATTTCAAGAAAAACGAAAAAATTCTTTTTAAAGTGTCAATAACAATTCTCTTAAATAAATATATATGTTTTTAATTCTCGCACAATACTAAAAAATGAAAACTTATATGAACGGTTCATCACCGCATAGTGTTTAGATTAATAATCTATTTTTTGTGTTGTTTGATAAAATAGCTTTAGTGATAGTAAACCTGCTCCATACAAAGAACAAAAATATTGAAATACAGAAACAAAAAGAAATAGAAGAAAAGCTAAAAGAAAAGTCTTAAGGGTTTTGTATCTCTACTGCACCTGCATGTGCTTCGACTGACGAGAGCACATGAGCGAAAGCAGATCTGCATGCGTTTGTGGTTTTGACAAAAGTGCGCATACTGTGCTTCCCATCCCTTTTCGTCTCTGGTCCAAATCTCATGTCTCAGTCTCTCTGTGCCAATCAAAAATGGCTGGGTGAATTATGTTTCAACGCTCTACATTCAACGGATTCACCGACATTTCTGCTTCCGTTTCATCCCTATGGCAACTGCAATTTCTTAGACCATCTCTAAAGAAGATGTCAAATTATAAGTGGAAAGTTATGTAATCAAATTTAAAAACAGGAGTAAGCTCCAATCGATTCGTCAATCTATGTGGATTGACATATGAGTTTTCATATGTCAAATTTGATATATGAGAAAATATGATGTCAAATAATTTTTAATTATTTTATTGTGTAAGTCTTATTAATGCTCCAATTATAGATCTTGAAAATTTATTTTTATTATTATTTTTTTTTAAATGGGTCCAACAAATATCATTTATAACAAAAAAAACGTATTAGTTGGAAAAAGAGAAAATCTGATATTGCCACGTCAGCCATCAAATTAACATTTGACATTTATCTTTTGGCATCTCCATTGGAGATGCTCTTAGGGTTTACATCCATAGTCCAAAATTTTGTACTTGTTTTATGTATCTAGATCAGGCAAAGAGCTTTTAGACAACAAGAATGTCATAATGATGGAACGATAAATCAATAATGAATTGCTATATAGGATAGTTAAGCGCATGATGATGCATGATCTGTGACATATTTATCGTAACATCCTTTTACGTTGTAGGTAAATTTCTCTTGAATGTTAGATGTGTGTGTTATATTTAGTGCTTAATTTTTCTCCCTTGTATATTTGTTTTGGGTTGACGCGTTAGAGTAGTTTACGCATACGTATGGAGGCTTAACAACAACGATTCATGCTTTCACATCACTCAACAAAAATTGATGTATTAGGCTTATGTGAAGCGTGTTGTGAATATAAGAAGACCTCATGGAACAACAATATCTATCAATTAACAAAACCAACAAAGAAAATGAGAATTAAGACCTCGTGTTATGTTTTATCTAAATTTATAAAACATTGCTAATCAAAATTAATAATAACTAAGGTTTGACCATCTTATATGACATGAGAAGTGCATAGGTTTATAATAAATAAATAATGTAAGACCAAACATGCTTGTTAGTTTATCATATACTACTGTATTATAAATTAAAAGGAGTAGATTTGCACATGACTGAACGCAAAATAACTTTAAGTTTTCTGATAACTCTCTAAACTGAAAGGCATATGTTGTCATATATTCTCGACTATGATGTGTGACATCCTCTAAATTACCAAATCGATGGGCAAACAAACCTGTAGGGTATCCTCAATTTCTTAGATTGGCATTGGCAATTGGGAAGAAATTGTACCAACTTGAGAAACTTTTACAACAAGATTTCACAATCATACATAAATGAAATGGATGATGCCTAAACTTGCAAGAATATGAAAAGTGTCATGCATTGCAAGGTACATCACTGAAAGAAGGACCGAAGCTATGCCTTATTCAAGTACTTTTGTTCTTTCATGTGAACATGATCCAACTTCCACATGGGGAGGGGCTCAATTTTGTTTAAAAGCCACATGCATGATCACAACTAGCACTTTCTCAAAATTCTCTCTTTTTTCCTATTAGAGGAAAGGTTTAATAAAACCAATGTATTTTATTTGAGGGAAGCAGTGAAACGATCCACTATTAATAACACTAATTTGATACTTAAACACTTGCAAAACTTAACCTATCTGAAATTTTATCCCAAAAAAATCTTGATGCAATCATAGTAGAACCCTTCGATATGGAAGTTAACATTTTTCCAATACGCCATTTCACGTGGTACCACTCTTTTAGTAGCCCACAGTGTAAAGATAAGATGAGCATATAACATTAACAGATTTGCAACATAGTGCTCTTGTCCAAAAGTAAGAATTAAACATGGGCTATCTGCCCAAAAGAAAGTACTCATGGACAAGACTACAAAGAGAGGTGTGCCACGCCCGATATAAATGGGGTTTTTCCCCCCTCTTCCGCAAGGTTGTCACAATTCTGCCTTTTGGCGTTTGGTCTTTTTGTATAAGGGTTTCATAGAAATCCCTAAGCCCAAGCTTTTGATTATTTTTGGGTGGGATTAAAAGGAAGCAAAGGTTAGATTAGAGAAATACTCGAATAAGACAACTTGGCGATTTGAATTAATGGTGAGATACTCTCATAATAATGTCTCATTATGCTCATTGGGCTGTAGCCCAGGGCAGCTTCATGCCTAATTAGCTTTGGGGCTATGCTGAAAGATTTTGGGCTTTTGCCATTTTGGCACATAAAATGATAAAAACTAGGGTTAGACATTTGTGGGCAATTGACTATCACCCCCATTTTCTACTAAAACCTCCCATTTTCAAACCCTAATTGGTGATTCTTGGTTTTTATTTTGTTTTCCTTTTCTTCGTATCGTTTTCAAAAATTCTAGCTCCGCTCTTGGTGATTAGGCTGCCTGAAACTTTTATCGTTAAATTATTCTTTTTTACATTAAAATATATATGACACATTACTCTTAACCATCGGGAGAGGAAACGAATAGTTATTTATGCACTTGACGAGCCGAAGGCATGGAATAGGGGTAGATATGTCTTAGGGATTAGGTATTTTGAGAATTGATGTTGTCAAGCTCTCCTGACTATTGAAGACTCGAGCTATCGAAACCATTTGATCAGGTAAGAGGGGGGGTCTAAAAAAGAGAAAATGCAAGTAGTTGAGCTTTTTCCTTCTTGTTTGCGGTGAATTGACCCCCTATGGAGTGGTTTTTGCTTTAAAATGGCCTTTGTTTGGGCATCCTATCCTATCTTTTTTTTTTTTTTTTTCCTTCATTAGGGGCTCTTTTAGGTTGGTGGTGGTGGAGTGATCAATTGAGGGACTGAAGAATCGTTGAGATAGTCATGGTGAGTTGAATAGTAATATTCCTTCATGATGTCATAGATAGATTTAACTTGAAAAACTGGTTTTCTTTTGTTGTTTAGTGAATCGATCCAGGTTGTTGTACTGAAGTGGAAAACAAATGAATTGAGTTGCGAACTTGTAGCAGTCGAAAGGATGTACTAGGGGGTAATTCATATCCATGTTCCTAAGGACAGATGAAGCAAATGGATAGCTCATAATTACACAACAACTCATGCTAGTGAGTTGGACAATAGTACCAATCTCATTAAGAATCATGGACTAACAATGCAAATTGAGTCCTACGTTTCGAAACGGACCTGAACGGGGGACCCGGTGCCCGATCGGAGCAGCATGCACGTAGGACCACTGGGTATTAGTCAAACAACGGGCTTCTCACATGCCT